TATTTGATATTATTTTTTTATATAGTTTATTATTAATTATAATGTTAAATGTCTAATGGATTGTATTAAGTAATAGATTACACGAATTACGCGTTTTGAAAACCAACATATAATCCGTTCTCCTTAGGATAACGTTTACGATTTTTTTTTACCACACATGATGGAATAACAACTCTATTCCCTATAGACTATAGTATAAAACAAACACAATAAAGAATAAAATAACTGGAAACATGGTATAATGACAACAATTATCGAAGAAGCTGAAAAAGAAATTTTACCACAGCAATTTGACGTACAAAGAGAATGTAAATATGTAATAGGTACTAACATCCCAAAAAATTTTATCAAATTTATCCAACACTTCACCTTCCTTATGAAGAATTAAAATCAAAGAGATATTAAAGATTTACCTAAAAATATAATTTAATTAGCTAAATTAGCTATTATTATATATTATAATAATTCAATTACGTATAACATACCTATGTATTTCTGTTTGAATTAATATATATTTTATTGTGAGGTTTTTTTGCATATTTATTTTAGTTCTTTAACTATAAATATTATAATAACACATTTGTTTAAAGTTTAAACTTTAATTAAAAGTGTATAATATTATTTAATATAATATTATATTTGCTATTTTTTATATTTTAATTTTTTGTCTTTCTTGTAAACTACCCTGAAACAAATTTTAATACTGTAAAAATAATATGATCATCTAAAGAAATTTTTAACCTTCTTATAAATGTACTTTAGAACTTACACCGTTATACCTTAAATCAATTTTTCTCTATAGTTATTTTAATTAAGTGAAATAACTACAACGCGCGTATTTTAGATACGGCCCGGCGGACGGTGTGATTTTATGACGTCACGCGTTTTACGCGACTTATAATTAATAATCACCGAAGCAATTGTCCGACAAAAATTTTTCTTTTTTTAAGCACTACATTTTCACACAATAAAAAAAATTAGGATTTTTTAGTTGTATAGTCCTTTAATAAGGCATGAGTCCTTTTTGGCTAATATAGATGGATTGGAAATTTCCATGGCTGTCCGAATATGTAGGTTAAATACTTCGAAACTTTCTGGAACACAGCCAAAAAATTTTTAAAAAACACGATTCGAAAAACGGTTCTAAGTGAAGACTGAAGAGTGTCTGTCTGCAGTCTATAATGTTACCAAGTGGAAAGTACTGAATAGATATATTAGTATATATTATGAAACAATTGTTGAATTGTTCTTAAAGTAATTTATTTTATTATTTTAGTGACACAGAGGTCTGCTAAAAAATTGCATTTGAAAATATTATTGTGTTTAAAGAATATAATAATATCCTTAAAAAATTTTAACTACCTACTCACGAAAAATGTTTTAAAGATTATAAAAAAAATCATTATTCTTCATTCAAATACCTACAGTTTTTATCAAATTTCAAACTACAATATCTATAAAAATTGGTTTGGTATATTTTTTAGATTCGTTGGTTACAATAAGAACTACTTATGATGAGTAACCTCGCTATAAATTTTCAATCCATAGAAATATCCTGTATAAAATAATTTGCAAATCTTTGAAATTTTGATTAATTTTGTCTAAACTTCAGTATCTTTTCAGGCGAGAAAGTGAATCTAGTTGGTTCATAGAGGGGGAATTTAAATTCACAAAAGTTTTTAAAAGCGACATTAAAAACATAAACAAAAAAGATTACACTAGATACATAAAAATTTCACTGAATGTGATAATATTAGCATTTTATATACACCATACACAATTTTCAAAATATTTTGACTCGTGTTACTATTTATAGGCATATGAAATTTTCGATAAGTACCTTTAACACAAAAAAATTTCAAAATGTATTCAGCTATTTTACATTTACTCGATTTCTCATGGAGCGATTTTCTTATTTTGTGGTAATAACCGCAGATACTTTAATTTTACTCCATGTTTATATTATTATTTTGTTTACTTGAAATATTTTTTTAAATAAATTACATTTTTGACTAGGTTTAAACTGTCCATGAAAATTAAAAATTAGGTTTTTAATTTTTTTTTTTAAGTTCTAATATATTTGTATTTTTTAAGTTAAAAGTTTGACAGTTTCATTTTATAAATATTAAAAATTCATAAGCAAGATTTTTTTTTATAAGCTTTAGAAATTCAAACTGACAAATTCATTAAAAATTCAATGAAAATAATTTATTAATTTTTAAATTTTAAACCTAAACATAAAAAATTTAAAAAAAGGTTCCACGTAAGTAGTTCATACGGTAACTGAAAAATTTAAAAAATATATAAGCACAGTTTTATTTATTGTTTCTTTAAGTTAAATTTAGAAGTAATGAGACATTTAAACAAGAATGATGATAAAAAAAAATAAAAATGGTTAAGTGAGTGCTGTTCATAAGGTGCCTTGATAGAGTAATAGATGTGTTAAATTTGAATTCAATGATTTAAAATCATAATATTTATAAATAACAATTTTGGTCTAATATTACTAAGTATATTAGATGATATTATTGTGTAAGTAATTTATTTTACTATTGACACATTTTTGGCTGTAAGACAATTGTCTCACAATATTATTTCCTATCGGTTATCACTACATAGTACATATAATATAATATAGTGGTTTAGATTTAGGTAAAGAATAAAACAAATTATAGTTGTTATTCTTTTAGTTAATATTTAATCACACAGGGTAAAAAAATTAAGTGAGATATACATATATTATACATAAACAATAGTAAAATGTATACCAAAATATATGAACAAAACCAATACAAAAATAATAAGAGCATAAATATATTTTTTGGACAGTCATAGACTAATAATTAAATTTGTATTTTATAAAAAAGTAAATCACACTGGAATACATTATTTATATTACAATATTTAGTATATATTTTTATCGGATATTTGCAGGTTTTTATATATT